GGCTGGCTGTGGTTCCTGGGAACCAGGTGCTCGTGCTGGGGGGGCTGGGAACAAAGAACCCCGCCATCCTTCATTCCCAGGGGTTCCCTGGCCCAGAGTGGGGGACACTATTTGAAGTTGAGGAGCACCTTCCTTTTTCAAGGTCCCCCACCCTGCTACAGCCTACAATTGCTCGATTCAATAAATGATAATGGTTTCAAACTGGGCTGGAGATTTCGTCTGGATGGGTAAAGGCGTGCAGGAGGCAGGGGAGAAAACCTGGGTCTCGTCTATACATTTCCACCAAAATGACAGCCTCTGCTGCTTGTGGGGCGTGTCAGAGCTGAACAGAACAGACTGAAAACGTTGTGAGTGACTCTGGCTACACGGATCTGAATCCCTGCATGCCTCAGCCTAGGGAGAGACCGTGAGCCATGTCTGTGATTCTGGGCATGGATGGCAATATCTACAGGGGTCAGATGATGGATGAAACCGGCCAGCGGCACATGGCTCCCTACACCTGGTTTAGAGAGGTGCAGGCACAGAGGTGTTTCTTTACTCCAACGCAGTGGATCAAAAGCTTTAGCTGCATCAGAACCACCTGGTGGGCACAATGAAACCCGGATTGCAGGTTCTGATTCGCAGGCCAGGGGCGTGGCCGGAGAACCTGTTTCTAACATTCTTGTGATGCTGCTGCTGCTGCTGCTGGCTTGCCCTTAGGGAGCCATCGCTTAGCGAGCTGCTCAGGAACCCAAGGCACGGCGATGAGGATGGGCCAGCTGATCCTTGAGTTCAGGGAACAGGGTGGGGTGAGCGGACTTCATAAACTGGAGACTGTTCCATCTAAGGGGGCAGCTGTGACAGTGTCTCAGGGAGCCACATGGCACAGACATAATCAGGCACCCAGTGTTTTTAGCATCTTGATTTTTTTTTTTTTTTTGGTGAGAACAGCTAGAAATATGGATTTTTTTTCTATGAAATATTACAATCTTTGGCAATAATTGGCAACTGGCTTTGAAATTTTTCAAACATTGCACAGGCCAAACAAAACATATCTGCAGGCCAGATTCCACCCTCTGGCTAGGAAAATTATCTTGTTCTCATGGAAGAGAGGCAGGGTCAGAGATCTCTGAGCCAGGGAACCTCGGAGAGGAATGTCAGCCTGACCTCTCCCAGCAGGCTGACCACGCCTCTCCCAGCAGGCTGACCACGCCTCTCCCAGCAGGCTGACCACGCCTCTCCAGCAGGATGGCCACGCCTCTCCCAGCAGCCTGACCACGCCTCTTCCAGCAGGATGGCCACGCCTCTCCAGCAGGATGGCCACGCCTCTCCCAGCAGTCTAACCACTCCTCTCCCAGCAGGCTGACCATGCCTCTTCCAGCAGGCTGACCATGCCTCTTCCAGCAGGCTGACCACGCCTCTTCCAGCAGGCTGGCCACGCCTCTCCAGCAGGCTGACCACGCCTTTCCCAGCAGCCTGACCACTACTTTCCCAGCAGCCTGACCATACCCCTCCAGCAGGCTTACGACTCCTCTCCCAGCAGGCTGACCATACCTCTCCCAGCTGGCTGACCACTCCTCTCTCAGCAAGCTGACCACTCTCTCTCAGCAAGGGCTCCCTGAGGCTGTGGGCTCCTTAAGTCCTCATCACTCTCCTCTCCTTTGGCCACATTTTGCATGCCAGCCACACTGAAGTCTTCCAGACTGCACCTCTCTCACCTGAAACCTCCTCCCAACCAGGCCTTTTCTGACCTCTGGGCCTTTGTGCATATGGTTCCCTCCGCCTGGAATGCTTTATCCTTTCTCCAAGTCAGCCCTAATTCTTACTTGTCCTTCAAGGCCTCACTCAGTTGTGACCTCCTCCAGGGAGCCTTCCATGACCACTGCCCCCCAAACCCCAGTTCTATGCTCCTCAGCCCACTGTGCTTCCATCTCAACACTGGGCTGCAATGGCCTGAAGATGCATCTGTCTCCTCCACTGGCCTGGGGGCTCCAGGAGGCTGTGCTACCTCTGTGACCCCACACTGAGTCCAGGGCCTGGTGTGGGATAGGTCCGAAATAGCACTTACCAAGTGCTGCTCTCTTGGCCTTGGCCTTCCTCTCATCCTCTTCCTGTTTGCCTGGTGACTTCCTGTCTATCCTTCAAGCCACAGCTTAGACTCCACTTCCTTGGGAACTTCTCCTGACCTCCCAGAGCCAGGAGGAGGTACTTCTCTGCCTCTCCTCCCTCCATGGCACACATCACAGTATGACTGGCTGCTGTGGCCTGTCTCCCCCACTAACCAGGACTCTCATATGATTCATCTCAGTAACAAAGGGCTGCAAAGACAGAGCCAGCACCTTGAAATACTGGTAGGACTGAGAGAGGAATGAACACACCTGAATGAATGATCCCAGGTGAGAAATGACACCTTTGTAATGTGCTGGGAAGAACACGTTAGAATGAAGCCACCTGATGTTGAGAACAAACTGGCTTCCTCCCAGCTGCTGGACTGGCTAGTGGGTGCAGAGCGTGTGGAGCAGAAGGGGCCACCACCTTGCTCAGGCCCCTGAGGGCCCAGAGACTGCAGCCAGCATGGCATCTTGGCATGCAGCTCCCCTCCATTCACAAACCTCAGGCTGGCAGTTCCTGTAATTCGGTTCTAACCCTCCCACAGCACGCTCTTCACTATGGCCCGCCACCCAGCTGGGCAGTCAGGAGAGAAAGGCGAGGCGGGGGCCAAGGGCAGGCCTGGGCAGAGGGGCCTTCCCTCCCCAAAGGGCAACAGCAAAGTAAAGAGTGGCCATCTAGTGAGTCCTGGGACAGCAGAAGGGACCATGAATCTTGCCCGATGTCATCCGGTTTGCCCAGCCGCTGGGCTCCCTGATCTGCTCACCTACCACTGTCCTACTGCTGGGTTAAGAAAAGAAGGTGGCATGTGTCCCTTCCCTTGTGTCCAAAACCCTCCCTTCCTCCTCTTCTTTTATAATCAAGTACAGAAGTGCCCCTCTCCAGAACGCTCTGGATCCCTCCTCTGCGTGCTTCCCTTTGTCACCACTGATCTCACAGTGTATAAACTGTGTGTCTCCGCCACAAAGACTATGAGTTCCCGCACACCAGGGATTGTGCGTGCTGGGCTGTGTCCCGGCCCCTGGAGCAGTGACTACTAGCACGTCAGGAAAGCGGCGGGTACAGTGCAATGCTTAAGGGCAGGCACTCTGGTGCTGACGGACCAAATTCAAATCCTCCCTCTGCCATTTACTTTGCTTCCCAGAGACCACACAACAAGCCCTGCCTCGGTCTTCTTATCTGTAAAATGTTGTGAAGACTGAATTAAAATAAAATGTGAACAGTACCAGGTACATAGTAAGCCCTTGAGTATTACCTAGTATTCCTGGGTGATCAATGAATGTTTTCCGCATTCATGGAGGGAATAAGAGCAAAGATAATTAGCCAGGTTCAAGCCAACACATTCCAGAGGTTGTGGGTGACCCAAAATAAACAGATGTTTTTTGTGCTCGGTGAGTTCCCCAGGAGTGAGCTGGGGACGACTGTTCTTACAGTGCAATTCCACGCAGCGGGCCAGGGGGCGGATCATGGGCAGAGGTCTGAAAGGCAGGGCAGGGCCCCCACCTCACCATGGCAGACCTTCCCCACAGAGCCTCTGAGATTAAGAGGCCTTGGGTCTTTACAGACACAATAGTGTTTTCTCCCACTACTGGCCTCTCCAAGGACACTCCGGGGCAGCTACCCCCTCTTCGCTATCATTCCAAACAGCAGGCTCACACTCACTCCTGACTGCCTTCAGATGAATCAACAACAGAGGAGAGTCCTCCAGGCCTGGGACACCAGCACTCCTCAACCACTGTCCTAAGGAGTCTCAGCCGTCTGGTTTCTGCCCAGGCTACCAGCAGAGAGGAACCTGGCCGAGAGCTGGAGCGTGGGCTTCAAAGTCCAAAGACCTAGGGTTCAGATCCCATCTCTCGCCAGTCCCTTCTCCTGGGGAGCCTGCTATTGCATAATATGGGGGACTAACCCCTCCCTCACTGGGCTGTGCGCAGTGCAGGGAAAACAGCAGACCCCTGTAATAACGGAAGGGGGCGGGGAGGACAAGAGGGAGGGCCCCATCGGTAAGCAGAAACCAGCTCTGGACCCAAGACTGTGAAAGGGAGACCCGAGTACCCTGACCTCCCAGTGACCAGAGAATGTTGATGGAGGCCTGGGGCTGCCCTTCCGGAGTTTGCTGTGGCAGCACTAATTGGGGTCTCCCGGTCACTAGCTTCCCACCCTTGGGGGCGGGTCTCCACCTCCTCCCCCATTGCTGCAGCCTCTGGCTGGAGCTGCAGAGGAGCTGACCTTTCCATTAGGTGTTGGCTGCAAGGTTCAAAGGAAGTTCTGCAGTGCCGAGCGGAAGACAGGTGGGGACGGGGATGGATGGTCAGGAGCCAAATCCCAGTTTGGGGACAGAAAGGGGCAGGTCAGAAGGCTTCTGGCAGGGATCACAGTGGCCCCTGCTTCCTAGAGTGGCTTCATGCTCGGTCATATGGGAAGTTTACACTTCAAGAGGGTTTCCTGTGTTTCTTCTTTATTTCCTCCCTTCCTGCTCTCTCTCCTTCCTCCACCACCCAGAGTGCAGCCAGAGAACAGTCAACAGACATGCCTGGAATTCCAGCCCACCCCTCCCTCACGGTGCTGCTCCAGGCATGTTACTTCATCTCTTTGAGACAGTTTTCTCATCTGTTAAATGGGTGTACTCATACCTCCCTCAAAGGTTGTTGGGAGGATTAGGCGGAGTTAAGTGTAGAAAGCACATGTCGGGACACAGAAGAAACTAAAGAAGCTGAAATTTTTATAACTATAACCATCCGGTTTGCACGGAGGAGGATGCTGGATGAGGGGTGCTGCCTGCTTGGGGCACCAGGCCAAGATCCCTGGTCCCTAAGAGTACAAGGGCCCTTGCTCCCCTCTCAAATGAATGAGCCCAGCGGTTGGTCAGCCTCCCCCCCCCCCCCCAGGAGATGCCAGGTGTAGTACAGCCTCACCATGCACTTGCGGTCATCTATGCCCGTCAGATCCTCCTCAAACTCCTTCCCAACCTGGAAGTCCATGATGTAGTTTCTAAAAGTGCTCAGCGTGCGGATGATCATATGGTCGCCGTCCTGCACGATCTCTTTGTCTGGCTTCAGCAAGTTGGCGATTTTGCGCAAGGCCACATTGACATCTGCAGGGGGCCGGGCAGAGAGGGGCAGAGAGTGGGCCGGAAAACTCAGAGAACTGCTCCTAAGGCAGAGGGGCCCGGGAGCCCGCTCCCCGGGAGAACAGCTGGGGTTCCCTCTCGCTAGCACTCCGTGCGCAGCCAATTTGTGCCTTTTTCTTTATTTTGTTCTTTGCAACAAAGTTTTCCGCCCTTATGCTAACCCTTAAAAAACAACAACTAGGAAACCAAGCCCAGCATTCCTAGTAAAATTAGCCACGTCTAGGGCCAACTCTCAGATATTTACCACCAATGAACCCTGACAACCTCCACCCTCCAGTTCAAGCCTGCTGGCCACCCCAGGGCCCGGCGGCCGCCCTTCCGCGCAGGCTCTGGGGAGGAGCGCCTCGGAGGGGCTCGCGGGGCGCCCGGGCCAAGCTCGGCGAGCAGTGGCTTACCGAGCGCGCGCAGGTACTCCTCGAAATTCTCGTTGGCCAGCATCTTCCAGTACCCGGTGAAGTCGACGGGCATTTCGGGAGGCGATTGGGGCCGGACGGCCGCGGAGCGGGCGGGGGCGGCTCTTGGCTCTGCCGGGGCAGCGGCTACCGAAGCGACCCGGCCGGTGGGCAGCCCGGAAATGTGCGCCCTCAAGTGGGGCGGTGACAGCTGGATTCCAAGCTCGCACAAAGCCCGCGGGAGGATCCATTGTAGCCGTCGCTCCTCCTTCCTTAGCGGGGGCGGGGGCGGGGGCGGGAGGTTGGAGGGCTAGGTTTGTCCCTGGCCCGCGGCCACCTTCCATCAGACCTTCAGTTCGCTCATCTATGGGGGAAGAAATGGGGGCGCGGGCGGGGGGCATGTTGCTTCATTGGCCCCAACTCTTCGGTTCCTGCAGGATTCCTTCAAAAACCACGAACGTCTCACATTGGGCGGCCATTGACGGTTGGGAAACAGTCTCTCTCTCTGGGTTGCTGGAGCCATTAAGGAAAGAGGCCACTTTATAGGCCTTTGTCTAAAGCGCTGCGCCGGTGGCCAGGCCGGTGGGCGCACGGTCAGGGTCGGGAAAGCTGGGCAGTTCTACTCTGGGAGAGAAAAGTGGACCACTCTCCACATTCCCTCCCGGCCCCCCTTCCCCCCCTAAAAGGAAGGTTGGTGTTGTTTGAAGTGTAGCTAAAAAGGCCCTCTGGGAGGTTCCGATGCACAAGTTTGAGATCCACTGCTTTATGCAAATGTAAGCAATTATTAATTCACTGCTGGTCTTATTCCTCCCCTGTCACCTAATGGCAGCACAGCACACCAGAGTTCTACACCCTTTTTTATATTCTGCTTTAGATATTCTGGAGACATTTCCATATCTGTACATACAGTGTCCTCCTTCTTCTGCAGGAGAGTCCACTGTATCCAGCTTGTCCCCATCCATGGGCATTTATGTTGTTTCTCATCCTTTACAATGAAGATCTTTGATCACACCTCATTTCCCACCTGGAGTGCTTGGCACAGTGCTTCCAAGCCTCTCTCTTTGCCAACAAGGAGGTGACATCATCATGTGAGCTGACTTTTTGACCCTCTATTAAAGACTAAATATCTCTTTGAAATTGCTTTTTGCACAAATCATAGCCTAGGTGACAGCAGATACATTCTCTTTTCCTGACAGTGGCTCCCTCCCAACCGCCTCCCCCACCACACACCATTTAGTCTCCACATGCATCAGGCTGCATTAGGAAAGGATGCCTCCTCTTGAGGGCAGGGTCACTTCATCCGAGGGAGTGGCCTGGAGTTTAGCCCCTTACCCGCCTTACTCTGCATCGGGGTGTCAACCTTGGCACTGTTGCCATCTTGGGCCACATCATTCTTTGTTGGGGCGGGGGTTGTATTGGGGGATGTTTAGCAGCATCCCTAGCTAGATCCCAGTGGCACCTCCCACAAAGATGCCTCCAGACAGTGTGAAATGCCCCGGGGGGTGGGGGGGTGGGTAGAGATCACCCCTGGTTGAGACCCACTGTTCTGACAGCTGTACCCTCCTCAGGCCGGTCTCCCCCTCCTCAGGCCAGTCTCCCCTCTCTTCTCACCTGGCTCTGGGATGCTCAGGCCAACAGTGGTTCCCACAGGCCCTGGCTCCATGTCCCTCCCTAGCCAGCCCAGAGCTCATCTCAGGGGGACAGCCAGGTGATGGGACAGCCAATCCTGGCCCTGCCCAGCCTAAATGTGCAAGAAGAAACCCCTTCAGCTCAGGGAGGTGGTTGGGTGGGTCCTGGCTTGGCCTAGGTTCTCTAGGGCCTCTAACCAGGGTTAGCTGGGCTTCCCTGTTGGTTTGACTCACTGGGATGGAGGTGCAGCCAAAGGCTTAAACAGTGAACTGGTCATTCCTTAGTCACCTCCAACTAGTCCAAACTCCTTTCCCTGTTCCCCTGTACCATCCACTCAGCCGACTGGACTCCTCCCCCTCCCCAACCTTCTCCCTTTGTGCTGAGTCTCCTGAAATGGTTCATGCCAAATGCCCAGCACAGTGCCTGGCACACAGCGGGGCTCTGCCAGTGCCAGCCCTCTGCCATGCCCAGAGCAGTCCCTTCCTGCTCTAGGCAGAAGCCTGCCTCTCCTCACCATCCCCATCCTCCCAGGTCCATCCCAAAGAACCAAGATCTGGCCGCTCCTCCCTCCTCTGGCCGGTTGGGACCTCTCCTACTCACCTGACCTCACTGTGCCCAACTGGCCAGCTGGCACATGGCAGTTAATTCAGGGGGGTTTTGCCTGTTCCTGTCTGCCTTTGTTTAGTCCCCCGAAAGGTCAATATACTCCTGCCCTTCAGGTCTCCTCCCAGGAGGGCTCTCGCTGGTGCTGGCTGTGCTGCTTCTTGCAGCTGGGGCTGGTTGTGAGGGTAGGCATTAGAGGCAGGATGCTGGGTTGGAAGTTGTCTGTCACTGTCCACCTGAGTGACCCTGGGTAAGTTGGTTATCCCTCTGTGCCTCAGTTCCCCCATCTGTAAAATGGGGACACTTCGAGAAGCAAAGGAGAAAGGGGATATAAAGGGCATGGCACAGAGTCCTGCTCCAGAAACGGTGCTATTTGAGGAGCCTTAGAAGTGAGGGAAGAGGCAAGGAGAGAAGGGAGCTGGCCTGTGCCCCCTTCTGGGGCCTTGAGATCGTTCCAGTGAGTTGAAGTGGGAGTGCCCTGCGGAAGGGTGGAAGCATTAGGTATCACTATAGTTATCCTTGCTCAGCCACTCCGTCATGCTCAGCTTAATCCATTAAGCAGTAGTTTTTGGAGCTGCTTTCTGTCTGGGTGATCACCTGGGATGTGTTAAGTAAAGAGAGCAACCGAGGACAGTGTGTAAAGAGGAGAGAGGGGATCTGTGTGGGGTTGGCAATTAGTGAGGCGGTGAGCACAGCCAGGATCAGAGAAGTCAGGAGGAAGGAGGACAGGTCAGGGGAGGGGAGAGAGATAGGTGAACAAAGCAGAGCTGTTAATGATTGAGGGGAGGGGGGGGGGAGAGAGAGAGAAAGAGAGAGAATAGAGAGAGAAGAGAAGAGAAGAGAAGAGAAGAGAAGAGAAGAGAGAAAGAGAGAGAGATATCCTAGGACAGTGGTCGGCAAACCGCGGCTCGCGAGCCACATGTGGCTCTTTGGCCCCTTGAGTGTGGCTCTTCCACAAAATACCACGTGCAGGCACACACGTACAGTGCGATTGAAACTTCGTGGCCCATGCACAGAAGTCGGTTTTTGGCCTGGGCGAGTCTATTTTGAAGAAGTAGCATTAGAAGTGGGGGGGTGTCGGTTGGTCGGGCTACGGGAGACGCTGCGCAGGCAGGCGGGCCGCGGGATACGCAGCGCGATTCATGCATGAGTTGAGTGAGCCAGAGAGTTGGAAGAGGTTGACCTCAGCGAACGTACCTCAATCAGATTGAGGACGTTTTTAGCAAAGGCCAGCTTAGGAGTACCCTAATTAAGTTAATCACAATGTACCTACCTATATAGTTTAAGTTTAAAAAATTTGGCTCTCAAAAGAAATTTCAATCGTTGTACTGTTGATATTTGGCTCTGCTGACTAATGAGTTTGCTGATCACTGTCCTGGGACATCCTAATGGGCTCTTTCCTTCAAAAAGAGCAGCAGAGATATGAGATCCAGGATTGGTCCCAAAGCCCTACCAAGACCACAAGGAAGGGATCCAGCCAGTGGGAACCTACCCGGAGGGTGCTGAGAGGCACAAAGAACAATTCTGGGTTGTGGGGGAGGGAAGGCAGGACAAAGCCAAGGACCCCCAGGGGGCTTCTGGGGGACAGCTCAGAGGAGCAGGGAGGCAATGTGCTGGCTCTTTATTTAGCAGATCCATGGGGATAAATTAGAGCTGAGGGGACCACCTCCATGAAATCCCGAGATTGGATTGGCCCTGATCTTACAGGCTCCTTGTGAGGTGGGTGGTCCTACCTCCATTGTTGAGAGGTCAAGCAGCTCGCCCAGGGTCCCAGCGGCTGGGCCTGCAGGAGCTTCCCCAGGCCAATGGGGCTGCAACAGAGAACCCAGAGGCAGACCCTGAGGCTCCAACCTCCCCAACCCCTGCAACCCCCTCCCCCTCAAAAATGTTCCTCACAAAATGCTGGGGCAGGAGTCTCATCCCTGCCCTCTTTGTTGGCCTCCCACACCCAGAGACCCCTAGCAGGTGACAGGTGGCCTTGTGCTCTTGGTTTGTGCTTATAAAGAAAACCTTCATCTGGTACCACATCCTTGCTTCTCTTCTCAAGGGCTCATTTATTTTGGAGACCTGTAAAATCTCCTTTCCTGTGTGCAAACATGACTCTGGGGAGCGGCCCTGCTCCAGTCCCTGAGTTGTCACGGCGCCATCTGTGAGGTTAATGACTGAAAGGACAAGTGTGACCCAACAAGCTTCCTTACTGTGTCCACCATGTCAGGGAGGGGGAGGGCTGGTCAAGAGACCACAGGGAATGAGGGGCACCAAGGTCTACTGAGGACACTCGCCTTTGATGATGCAAATGTGCAAATGACACACTACGTCCACAAGCCCCAGAATCTTAAATCCACTTTGGTGTGTGTGTGTGTGTGTGGGGGGGGGGCAGGGGGGGCGAGAAGGAGGGGGCTTGGATGTGGCCTGGGGATTTTTTCTGTCTAGAAAATGTACGTCAGTCACCTGCCATCCATACATGGCAATTGTTTCTACAAATTGTGGCACACTGCCTGGGAAGGGTTTCCTTTTTATTCTTTTCTTTCCTTCCCTCCCAACCTTTCTTCTCTCACTTTTTTTTTTTTAAGATTTTAAACAATTGATTTTTCGAGAGATGGGAGAGGAAGAGAGAGAGAAACATTGATGTGAGAGTGAGACATCAATTGTTGGCTGCCTCCTGCACACCGCTTCGCTCACTCTTTTTTGCTTCCTTAACTATTTCATTATGGAAAAATTTAAACCTATATAAACAGAATTATATATTGAAGTTCCATGGATTCATCACCAGCTTCAACAATTATTAATCCATGGCCAATCTTGTTTCCTCTATTTTCCCATCCGTTCCCATTTCCAAAATTATTGTGAGGCAAATACCAGACATTGTATCATTTCATCTGGAAACATTTCAAGAAGTATCTCTAAAAGATAAAGGCTCATTAAAAAAATTATCCAACACCACCATTATCAATTTTGTGTTTTCACTTCGATGAGACTCTTGAAATATATTTTTGGCCAGTAATAATAAATTTAAAAATATGAATTATATATATTCACAACTTTCCCACATTTCAAGAAAGATTGTGGTCCAGCCAGTGTGGCTCTGTGGTTGAGTGTCGACCTTCGACCTATGAACCAGGAGGTCACTGT